TTTATTTGAATAGCTTATCTTTAGGTACTTAATAAATACTTATAGATACTGATAATTATAGTTACTTAAACTTCTACAATTTAAATGGGTCTTTGAATGTTATTTAGATAAATTAGTTTAAATCGTACAGATCCAACTGTCCGTAATTGATATTCGTAGTAAAAAATTCAATTTTATTCATGGCATGTAGCAATTATATCTTTTTAGAGTGAGATTTTTTAAAAAATCTCATAACATTACCAACAAAAAAAATGCGGCAAAAAAAACAAAAGGCAGTTTCATATATTCTGTCTTCCAGGTATTAGCTGCCTTCGGCTATCCTGAAAAATTATAATAGTAGAAAAGCTTTTTATCCATTGTGGAGGATTAATAAATAAACCAAAATATTATACAAACTGACAAATCAAATATATGACATGTATATATTGTTAAAAATATTAAATTAAAATCAAGAAATTTTGTTTAATATTCCCTGTGACTAGGAGTAATAGATTTCGAGATAAATTTTTTAAGGAAAGTGGGTGTCCGCAACTTTTTCCAGGAAATAGATATCAAGCTGATTTTTGGTATTCGTAAAGAACTTAGACGACGCTAACTTATGGTATATCTTTTAATTAAAAAATATACCAAGCGTTTCATTTTCGCTGCTACATTTTGTCAAAGTCGAACAGCTATAACTTTCTTAACTTAAATGGAAATTGCCTTGGGCATGTCAAAAATAACAAAAGTAACTTGGATTGTGTCAAATATTGTTATATGTAGTCACTTAACTAAAATGTAAACTCGTTATAAACATCTATTATTCTAATTATGCAACGCGTTTAAATTACTCAAACGATGATTATTTTAAAGTGTTTATTATTTATGGACAATGTAACAAAGTTTTAACAAGAACTTGCAAACATTTGCCGCTCCATATCGACAGAAACGAATACTTTTGTGCATTAAATAGTGTTCCATAAAACAGTTACATTTTTTTTAATATCTCCAAAAAAAATGCAAAAAAATAAAGTAAGGCCGATAATTTGAAAAACTCGAGTATACCAAATTTCACTGAAACAAAAGCCCGATTTAAAAAATAAATAAAAAAAATTGTGGCTATATTCTTTTATGAAGTAAACTTGTTTGACATAACTTGACCCAAATTGGTTGGTGGATTTTGAATCAAGAAAGATACAGTTGAAGTATGACACATGCTCTTTCAGAAACCCTGTTTAAAATAAATACATATACAAATGATTGTAAAATAAGTCATTTTCCCCTCTGTCGAGTTCCCCGGCCATCTTGCCGGTCAATAGCATTCCTTAACCATAATTTTGTTATCGTTTCTACCTGCTGGTGAGTGGTTCCCTCCTAGCCAAGGGATTTTTGCTCACCGCAACGAAATAAGTTTGTCTGTATTAAAGATTAAATACTTTCCACATAGAAACAATCAGATAAAAAATAATATATTCACGTTTTAATTAAAAATAAAAAACTAAAAAGATTTGACACTGAGATTTAATATGCTAAACCTCAAAAAACAAAAAATGACAGATCCACAGTGTTTAGGAAAAAATATTGTTATTTTTTGATGTTCCATCAGCTCTTGAATTCCTTAATAACAAACAGTGTTTTAATTAAAAAAAACTAAAAAGATTTGACACTGAGATTTAATATGCTACATCTCAAAAAACAAAAAATGACAGATCCACAGTGTTTAGGAAAAAATATTGTTATTTTTTGATGTTCTATCAGCTCTTGAATTCCTTAATAACAAACAGAGTGAAAATTTACTGGTTCTGTTAAATTATGAATGAAAATTCGTACGAATTCTATTAAAAAAAAAAACTACTACATACTTTTACTTGAGCTTAAAAATCATGTTCTGACAAAATTTCTAAAGAAATAAAGTATCATTTGAAATTCAATATTATAATCATAAAAAATTCGGTAATTCCACAGCATATACTAATGTTAACATATACCTGGTTGTGGTAAACCTCCATTAGCATAAGTGAAACCTGAAGATCCCGGATTCAGTCCAGGTAGAGAATCTACCTTACTTAGGTGACTTTTTAGCTTCTTGAATTCTTCATTCATCTCCTGTAGTATAAAAAATAAATAAAGTTGACAAATTCGTCAGTTATAAGGATAATAAAAAAAATGATTTATGCTATTTGATGTTTTATATAAATCAACACAGTATAAGATTTTTATTTATCCCAGTAACCGAAGAACTATAAACATCTAAAACAACTAAAAAAATTAATTAGAAGGCTAGAGATAACATACCTCCATAATATTCTGCAACTCATACATTGACGACTTAAATTCCTCATTTATTTTTTGATCATCCTTAAATTTCTCTATTTTCGTATCGTTTAAGCTATGAAATTCATGCAAAAGGTTTCGAAAGGAGTCCACCGTGGTTAATGCTGGTGCTATCTCTAGTCATGTGCTTAAAATATGAAAAACAGTAAACTTGGAACCGCAATCATCACAACTGTTTACCTCTAGGTGGTTGGAGATTTTTTTGGACTTGTTATTCACTCCATCAATAATTTCTTGTATTATACTATTATTTAGCAGCTGATTACCCTCTTATTTAACATACTGTTACTGAAACTATTTAAATATAACGTAACGTCCAAAATTTAGATTTTCTGTGAATTTAATGAACACCCTGTATAAATTAAGGGGATGCCCACCTTTTTCTCTAAAATATCAGGCAAATTTTGTTATCCTAAATGATTTTCCGTGATTAATGAAAGCAGTCTTTGCTCTAGTTCAGTTAAATATTTGACTTATTTTGACCCTCCACCTGTTGTGACTGTGTTGGGATTATAGCTAGAATAAAACATTTCAATGATAAAAAATATTGTTTATTCAGATTTTCAGATTTCACTTCTACTCTGTGCCAAACCTAATTTAAAACTAAATTACAATCTTGAAACTTAGTGTACGAAGGTTTGTATTTACTGTCAAACTGTTATCAAATAATTAGTGTATCCCAGTAATCGGTAGGTTCTCCTACCTATAAATGTGTCGAATAATTTTCATAAATCTCTATGGCATTCTTTATTAATTGCGGGAAACTCGAATAATGTTTTTACATAATTGTATACAGGGTGTTTTCACTTTAAATTTGGAAAATGCAGGAATGTATTCCCTATCCAAAATTAAGTGTAGTTTACTCTATAAAAATTTTTTATGAAAGCCTTTGTTTTGGAGATACAGGGCGTTGAAGTTAAAAAAAAATAAATACTTTTTGACATATCTAGGCTATCCACGTGTAGATTTGATTTAAACTTGGTGCACATTATGCGTATTGGGGGTTCTCATAATTGGCAGAATATTTGTCTTATCCCATTAGCCAGTGGCGTGCAAAGGGGGATGCGTGGCCCCTTTTTTTTAAAAAAAAGTACGCCATTGAGTTTTTCGAAGAATGTAAAGTAAATTTAAATACTACCATACAAAAGCAATCTAAAAGGTCTCTTGGTATTTTTCGATAATACGCAGCGTTCATGAGATTCTTGGACTATCAAGATTCCAATGCATGATAACATGGCACGGTAGTGCTGAATGAGAAAAAGAGATATTTTTCTTTGAATTCAAATGCTGCATTAAAATTTATAGCAACTTTTTTGTTTCGCAGCAAGTCAAGAACCTGTAAATATTTTCATTACTTTCCTCTACTCAATGTCGTAATTATTTTTTTTTCATGCATTGAAATCTTAATAGTCCGAGAGTCTCATGAACGCTGCGTATTATCGAAAAATACCAAGAGGCCTTTTAGATTGCTTTTGTATGGTAGTATTTAAATTTACTTTACATTCTTCGAAAAACTCAATGGCGTACTTTTTTTTAAAAAAAAGGGGCCACGCATCCCCCTTTGCACGCCACTGGCTAATGGGATAAGACAAATATTCTGCCAATTATGAGAACCCCCAATACGCATAATGTGCACCAAGTTTAAATCAAATCTACACGTGGATAGCCGAGATATGTCAAAAAGTATTTATTTTCTTTTTAACTTCAACGCCCTGTATCTCCAAAACAAAGGCTTTCATAAAAAAAAATTATAGAGCAAACTACACTTAATTTTTGATAGGGAATATATTCCTGCGTTTTCCAAATTTAAAGTGAAAACACCCTGTATATATATTTCATTGAAAATTGTCCAGGTAACTGAGTAGTTATCTGCCGATCTCCGTCTAGAAGGCTTTTAAGATAATAGCATTTATTTTTTCTTCACTGTGTATAAGTACATAAAATGAATCTCTAAATGGCAACCATTATAGTATGAGCCACTAAATGTAGGAATTTTTACCTCCGGTTATTTAAATTGTGAATGCAACATAGCAACCTCCTGTAGAACAATTTTCATCTATGCAATTTTTTTATTTGACTAACTTCCGCATAACATGTTCAATTTTAACAGTAGTGATAACATATCGTCTGTTTTGTGGATACATCTTATAAGTTATACTAATTTACGTTTGTTATTTCTAACAACGTTTTAACATTATATTGATAAATCGGATACAAACTCGGCCCCAATGTCTTTCCCGAATCCATTGCCTGACATACCCTACATTTTATAAAATGTAGGGTATGTCAGAAAACGTAGTTTTTTTTAGTATGGATTCTGTAATTTCAAATAAATAAATTTAATTTGAATAAAACCCCTTAAAAATTTAATATCTGATAAATTCTAATTTATTTATTTTATTGGGCAAATTATTAGAAATGGTATAAAAATAATTTAATATTTTAATAATTATTTATTAGTTAAATCGTATTTCAATAGCAATAGTCATTTTCTTTAACAACAATATGACTGATTAAGTTAAAATTAAATAACAAATTCCATATTTTCCATTTCCGAATCACCCCTTAAAGTTGCACGCCCTTGGTCTGCGGCTCCAAGCTTAGGAGTGGGGATGTAATACACAGCTGTACACAACACAGCATTTGTTTGATGTTGGCGTTGGCAACAGTCTTAGTTCTGGCATCTAGGGGTAACCGACGTGATCTAGCATCTAGCAAGCCGACTGTGTCTACACATAGGGCAAACAAAATGTTTCATCGTTGATTTGTTAGATATTTTGTGTCGTCAGTTTTTAATTTGTTTTTAAATCGGATCGTGATATGCAACGAAAAGTGATCTGCAAGTATTTGTTCGAAATATTTGGTGAGTAAAATAATTTGTTTTAACAATTTTAATGCCTGACGGCGTTTTCGCACAATTTTTAATTTGTAAGTAATGATTTTGGCTGCAATGCTTATATCTGCTTATTTATTTCAATTAAAATTATGATTTACACTTTTAGTATACCGAGCGACGGGAGTGAATGGGCCATGGTTCAGCTTTTCAGAACAAAATTACATTTTTTTTTAAACATAAATGAAATTTGGCAAGAAATGTTTTTAGGTCAGCTTATTTATTTCCTAAAACATTAATATCACCAAAAATACCTGAAACGGTTTTTTTTTAACTTATGATTTAGGTTATAGAAAATTTAATATAGATACAAATTTAGCAAAAAGATCAAGTTTAAACAAATCAGAATTCCGCCAAGAACTCAGCTGTCCGTAGTCGATATCGGTAATACAAAATTAAAGCACATTTTCCACTTTAGTGGCAATTATAGTCATTTTAAGTCCCTAAATAAAGTGAGGTTTTGTAATGGGACGTTGGTGGCGTAATCAAGAAATGCGTTTCTTCTATTAACTATTTATTTCACATTAGGTTATACAGTAACAATTAATTTTGTTTTTAATACTTCGAAAGCTAACTGCTGTTGACTAGTCCAATTGAATACGGTGTCTTTTCTTAATAATTTTGTCAAAGGTAACGTAATTTTGCTGAAATCCGAAATGAAACGGCGATAGTAACCACCTAAGCCTAAAAATGATTTGATGTCTTTAGGATTCCTTGGAATGGGGAAGTCGCGAACATAATTTATTTTATTAGGGTCAGGTTTCACTCCCTGATCGGTAATCAAGTGTCCTAGATACATGACTTCACGTCGTAAGAATTCGCATTTTTCTGGTTGAATTTTAAGATTGTACTGAGAATCTATCAAAAACTTCGATTAGACGTTTATTATGATTTTCTAAGTTATCTGCGTGAATTACAATGTCATCTAAATATACAAAACAACGATAATTTTGAATTCCGGCTAAAACATTATTCATTAGTCTCTGGAATGTTGCTAGCGCATTTTTTAATCCAAACGGCATGCGATTAAATTGTAATGTCCTGAAGGGGTTGAAAAAGCTGTTTTTTCGGAATCTTTGGGAGACATTTTGATTTGGTGGAAGCCTGATGTCAAATCAATAGTAGAAACATATTTAGAATGTCCTAATGGATCGAGAATATATGTGATATTCGGAAGTGGAAAAGAATCGCCTATAGTAATTTCGTTAAGCTTCCTATAGTCTATTACAATTCTCCATTAGTAATACGTGTGGAAAAGTTACGAGGAAAACACTCACAAGTTAGTAGACAAACGTTTATTTCGGAAATGCAGAACCTAATGTTACAATGGCTAATGATTCGGAGGGTTTTATATTATCCGTTATCAGGGTTGATTTTGTTATTGTACATCGCTGAGTAAGGGTAAATATGATAAGTAATGTTTGTTCCTTTTGATGATTAATAAATGGGTGGTCATTGCGGCTTAGTAATGACAAACAATATTGTTATTGGAAAAATAAAAATATGATGCGTCATAGGTATACTATACTACACATCTAAATCTCCGAATAGTGTATCCAATTTGACCTTCGCATGGGAATCCGTTACATTCAATAATTTTGTTTCTCTTTAAAACGTGTATCTTTTGCCAAGTGTCCATATTGCTGTATGAGTACTTTACCTGTACTACTGTGGGATTTTCTTTACCAATACAAATCATGACCGTGTTTTGTGAGGTTTGAGTCAATTTTGAGAATTTCACGTTGTTGGTTTTAATAATTCCTTAATTGAAACACATACAAATTATTACCTTAGTTAATTTTGGTACAAAACGTATTATACTAATGGCGTGTGTGTCGCCCTTGTGTTCTCATCGCGCTGCGCCTGGCCGCCCCTGCCCCGCTACATCTCATCCATGCCTCTAGGAAGGGGAACCTAGACAGGGCCGTATTTGTGTATTTGCCGCAACAGACCGCCTTACTTATACAGGGTGATCGAGAATGATTGACCGTGCCGCCTCATACTGATTTTTGATGTGCGGCAAACCAGTTTTTGATACCAATACTAGAATCATGAGCGCAGGTTGAGGGATTTTAATGGTAAACAAATAATTACGTTCAAACGTCAAATAAATTAGGTTACTGTCAAAATGGAAATTCATAATAAAAATATCAATTATTTAACAAAAATCAAAGTTATTTCACAAATTAAGCAATACTGATGGACCAATAAATGTTATTATTGTTATTATTATTAAAGAGGATGACAGAATCAAATGTAGGTTTAGCCTAACTTTTCCAAAATTCTTATTTCATTTACAATTAGAAAAACTTTTAAATCAAAGTTTGATGTAGCTAATTTTGAATAACGACTGTAAGTGCTTCAGCGATTTTATTTTTAAAACGTTATGAGTTAATTTTAAAACAGAAGCACTATTGTGGCTACATTCTTGGCATCTAAGACGATTCAGCTATACAGCGATACGCTGCAAGCTGCTGTTTTTCATCAAAGCAAACTGCTGTATGCTTATAAGACGACTATTTTGCAGCTACTGCTTTCACACTTCTGAATATCCAGCGCAAGCGATCCAGCCCAAAAATTTATGCTGAACATTTTAGTTAGCTGTCGAAATTCAGGAAAAGTGTCTTAAAAAAATTTGCTTCAAGCAAATGCAAGCAGTTGGAAGTGCTTGATTATGTTAGATGGTAGGATTGTCTGTATGACCGAGAGCAATAAACAACAGTTACATGCAATATATAATAACAGAGTAATTGGAATTTTTTCACATTTTATTGAATATTTTACCTTAAAATTACATAAAATCCATAAAAATATCTATATTTTTACAATAAATGTTCAATATGATGTCCATTGTTGTTCAAGCAGGTATTAATTCTTCTTTTCATATTATTAAATACATTCTGTAAAACATTTTGTGTAATACTCCTAATTTCGTTTGTAATTGCCTCTTGAAGTTCTTCAATCGTGTGTAACCGTTGAGCAAATACTGAATTTTTTAAAAAACCAAATAAATAATAGTCTAGGGGTGTAAGGTCAGGAGAACGTGGTGGCCATCTATCTCGACTAATTATTCGATCATCATAATACTCTCTAATCAACTCTAAAGTTTCGTTAGAGGTGTGAGCTGTTGCGCCATCTTGCTGAAAGTATCCATGATGGATTTCATCGTCGTGAAGTTCCTCAAAAAATGGTAACAATATTTGCTGCCGATATACCTGCCCAGTTACATTTTCACGGAAAAAATATGGTCCGATTATTCTTCTACGTGACATAGCTACCCAAACACCAAGTTTAATAGGGTGCAGAGTTGTTTCACGCAAAATATTAGGGTTTTCTGTGTTCCAAGAGCGATAATTTTGGGAGTTTACGTACCCACTTAAATGAAACCACGCTTCATCAGAAAAAAATGTTAGATCTAGAATATCGTCGTCATTCAGATTTTCGTTAAACCAATTACAGTATTGCACACGTTTTCCAAAATCTAACGGAAGTAGTTCCTGCACAACACTAACTTTATAAGGATGAAAATGCAACTTCTTTACTGCTTTATGGCATGATCCATATGATATTCCTATAAACAATTTAGGAATAATGATACAAATTTTAGAATAAATATTTGTTATTAAGTACCTGTTTGAGCAGATAACCGACGTAGTGATTTGGTTGGACTAGCTCGTAAGCGGTTTTCAACATCTTCCAAGACTTCCTCTGTAAGAATAGACTTTCTGCCTGGAGATTTTCCTCTACAAACACTTCCAGTGTTATGGAAGCGTTCCACTAATCTCTTCACGTGTCTCGAAAAAATTTCATAATCAATTTCATCATTTGGAAATTGTTCTTGAAATTGTAAATGACACGAATTCATCGAATATTTCCAACCATTACCATTGTTTTGTCCACTACGAAAATAGGCCTCCAGAAGAAATTTATCATGTTCTAATGAAAATGCCATGTTAACCTAAATTAAAAAACCGATTAGGTTAGAGAACAACATACGCAATAAATTAATTACTCACGTATAATATCCACCTACTCTAACTGTAGTATTGAAAAATACTGTTTTATAATGTCGCAAAATATATCAGGTAACAACAAAATCTACAAAATAATATTCAAGCCAAAAAATCCGTGCGCCAATGAACAGAACGTCAAATTGTGAAATCGCCACAGAACACCATGAAATTGCACGGAAAAAAAAGTAATTTTAGCAAACGGAAATCAGTTTTGATAGCAATTGAGACAGGGTACGTTCAGAATCCGGTCAATCATTCTCGATCTCTCTGTATAAAACTTTTAGTATCTTTAAGGTTTTCTGCGGCCTCCTTAAGATTCCAGAATCCAAAAGATTCCATATTTATGATTTCAAAAGGCGGGTTATATTTTGCAGATCTAATAACATCATGCAAATCACGAGGAACTATAGCTTTCATTACTCATTTGCGCTTCTCAATAAGCGAAAATTCACGGTCACACGACATGAGCGAGTGTCCACTAACCAAAAATTTGTGTTGAATATTTTCAAATATTCCATGAGCTACCAAAAAAAAATAAACATGAAAATCATAACTTTATTTTTATTTCGGCCTGCGCAGTTGTCAGTCCATAGAACAAGCCGTTTTTGTTCAACTACTGAACTATTTAAAAATCTAAGTATACAGGAAGAAATCTCATTGCTTCCTCTGCCAGCCGTTCCCACGTTCCAGTTGCACATATATGCAGTATTTGAGTTGCTGTAATAGATGCCCAAGTTGTAACAGCTAAGTTGACTTAAATAAAACATATCGTTGTGTGTTCAGGTGGGTACAAAAAGAACCTGTTGAAATTCAACCGATAAACAACATGTCTGAGCTCCAGGCAACTGTGAAGCAGCCACACCCTGCTTCATTAGGTTTATGGCTTGTCGCGATTTTCGGTGATGAAGATCCAGTTTTTGACGTGCTCCTGGGCTTGTGCATAGCTCCCCTTTTATT